AGCGATACCAACGGGTTCAGTGCCACACTGGCTTTATTTTAAAAATAGCGATTTCGGTAAAAATGCTGCGTTAGAAAGTTATGGCGTGAAAAGCAAGTCAAGGAGCTAATATGCAAATTAGCACTGGCTTACCTCGGCCAGCTCTGCGTACCTTCGAGGCACCAGAAGTTGCAACGCAGGACGAGTATCGACTCCCGCGTGCTATCTAGCAGTGTAGCAAGCCTGTGACCGACTCTCAGCGAGCTAGTAAGCGACCACGAGTCAGTAAAACGGTAAAATTGGACCAGCCCACCAATTAACAGTGCCGTGCATGCGTACGGTATTATAAGCGTGTATGTCATCTGCATCTATACCTTGCATGGGACAAGGCTCTGTAGCAGGTGACCTGCCTGCCCGAGTAAGAAAATGTTAATATCCTGCTCCTCCCCCACACTATTCAGACATCAGAATGTGCACAGGGTGAGCAAGTGCTAACCTATTGATGTATGATGACAGGTAGTAGTGTGTATATGTACGCATGTGTATACAAATTAATGTAATTGTTAGCATGCGGCAGAATAGTCCATGCAAAAGCCTACACTCTCCTGGAGTAAACACAAAGGGAGAGGTCAACGATTTGTGATTGACAATGCACGGGGAACACCTGTGCCCCGTTGTTTCTGGAGATGTACAGTGTCATACATCGCTGAAATTTTGTTTAAGTAGCCCATGATAACCAACACTCAGTTTTAGTTTCTTACATTCATCACCACCACCAGTTGTCTTATTGACTCTTGACGTAATGAGTAGAGTAAGTAATCAATTATCGACCGGGATGAATGTTCGGACGCATTATCTTTCGGACCAGAAGTGGGGCAGGCTCACTCCCATAGTGGACAGGTAGGTTAGGATCGTCAACTGTGGTATCCTGCTTGAGACCATTCTGGTGCACAGCGGAGACAATCGCGGGGCGGCTGAATGCGCAGTCCGAACATACTCTGTATTGGATGTTATGGCAGACAGTCAGACTCCCGGGTTCCTGCTTGCTAGCGAGCTGAGCGAAGGTATATTCCCTCGCTACTGTAGCTGGCGCCATGCAGGGGCACCGCCCATCAGCCACTGCAAGCACTCTGGGTGTGCGCATGCGCACTACATGTGTACACACATGGGTGAACCAGTCACCAACCAGCACCAGAGCCAGTTGCAGTCACCGGTTTCCGCGAAGTGCGACAACTCCTGATCGTCAGCGAATTAACAGATACATAGGTGACAGATGGGTGCGTGCTGAATGGTGGGGATGAAGCAGCCGTTTTTACGTCACATTGTATGTTGCCCTCTCAACCTAGTTCCTTTAGCTAGGTCTTCGGGATCACCTACCTTGGGCGCACAACGGTGTGTTCCACACAGATGGGGTATATATATATATATATATATATGGAGCTAGGGCCTGCACGTCGCTCGTGATCGGACTGGGGTGACGCGGTGACCTGCTCGTCAAGTCTAGGGCCAGGGAATGAAACAAATAAACCAGCCGACCCCTTGCGAGTTCGATGTGTTGTTATTGCTGGTGATTCCCTTTCGTATATACTGGGCGTCTCTCTGTAGCCTATTGAAAATGTTGTGTCAAGGAATAGCTAATGGTTCATTGTTGGGTCACCACAGATCTTTTAGTCATAAGATAGCTACCTGCGATAGAACCAAGACACTTCTGTTTACAGCACAGTAGTACACATTGCATACAGAAGTGAGAGGAGACGCCTTCTGATTCGATACGGGTACCGTCGGCTTGTTGACTACGTAGTGATGTGGACATGGTTGGGACAAGCTGAGCCACTTACTCGTCTCTTCACATGCAAATCGGGCTACAGTGTCTACCTGAGCAATCTCAAATGTAGACGGGGCGCTCGTGTAAGCGATCCACGCAGTCATCGATGGCGCAGTTGAGACGCCCATCCTCTGCCGGGGCTGTCTTCGACAAGCTGATCCTAACCGAGTCACCGTTATACTGCCATTTTCCTAACAACTAAGACGGCACATTCTTCGTGTCTTCGTGGTTCTGCAGCCCTTGTAAGTGCAAGGCCTTGAAGAAGGAAGGCTCAGAACCACGAAAACACTCTAATTTGCCATCTTACCTGTACATAAAAAAACTCGCATGGGTGAACCCGGTCTGTCTATTGTGGCTTATCCATTCTCCTCCTAGGCTCAAGGCGATGGCTACAATGCAGAAATATGTACCTTTACGCGAGAGAGTGTATATTGGCGATGTGGGTCAATCTATTTCCGACCACGACGAGAGCCTTCTTCCTTTTAGGCCTTGGACTGGGTGGACCCAGGAAAGCATCAGCAATAAAAGCAGTCGTTGACGACGGTATGAGCATCAGGGGAGCTGCTGAGTATTATGGGGTGCCAAAGAGCACACTTGGTGATCGTATAAGTGGCCATGTTCTCCCGGGAGCCTAAAGTGGCCCAAACACCTACCTGAGTTTTGAAAAGGAAGAAGAGCTAGTAAACTTTCTTTGCTGCACAGCCCTTGTTGGGCATGCACGAACTCGGAAAGAAGTGTTAGCCATTGTTAACCGCATGTTGTCTTCTCGGGGCAAGAATAAAGATGTGTCTCCTGGTTGGTGGGCAAAAAGAGCGAGAGAAGCAAGCCAAACTGAAAGAGAAGGAAGAAAGAGTGAGAAGGAGAGAAGAAAGACGAGGATTACAAAAGAATCAGAAATCATATAAGAGCTACCTTCCTTTCTCTGAAGAAGAGTTGGTTAAATTCAGTACCAGGTATGAGAATGGACATGACATATCCACTGATGATTGTTACAACGAATAAATCATCCAAAAAAAGGTAAGTATATGGTACATGTTTCTTTACAGACCATATGTGCATGCTGCATGGATTAATGTTTTTTTCTGTGACATACAAAGTAAAAAGCATGCTTACTCGGATAAGTATGCTACGTACCAGAGTACTTATAATGTACATGCCTGTGCATAGAAAAGTTAGTGATACCTCTGGTAGATCAGGTCAGCTTTTCCTTTTAAATGTGATTAACATAGTATGTTTTTACTAACAATTGGATATGGGCTTACCAGAGGAGGACAAAAAGGAGGGAGAGGGAGAGGCTGTGGCAGAAAGACAGGGAGTGGCAGAGGCAGAGGCTCTACACTGACACCTGCCATGGCAACTGATATGTCAGGATTGTACACACACTTGAAAGTGTGGACATTCTTCAATGTTTCAACCTTTGTGTACAGAGTCTGAGATTGAAGACCTCAGTGTCAGCAGAAAGCCCAGTGGCCCCTCTCTGAAGGAGACACTTTCAGGTTTCATCACCACCCCACGATTTTCCTCTGTTCTAGTTTTGCATGTCAAGGACCACCATTATGCACATGTATACAACATACACAACATGTAGAGCGAGAGGTGACCTCCAGTTCTACTGGAGCTTGAGTAGTGCATGTAGTTGACTATAAACTCCTGTTCCCTTTTCTTACTCTGTAGTTCCCAAGGTCAGCGATAGGAAAACTTAACCCTTTACGCTTCACCTCAATGAAGGCATCTCAAGGACTGTAGATTTTGCAAACATTTATGGTGTGACTCTTGAGTGACATTCCACCATTGCCACGGCGCGCAGCGCTCGCCCATGAACCGCACCCCTCTAGCTAGCCACCCGCGAGGTTTGGAGTCGGGGAGAGCCGGATAAAGACCGCCTGTACCCACAACCCCACGCTAAAATATACGGCGTGCGCACGCTGCGCCTGGCGCGGCGCTGTGCTGTGTGCGCACGTCCAGTACACGTACAGTGCGTACTATCTTCACTCAGCTCGCTAGCAAGCAGGAGCCCGTAAGACCGACTGGTCCGGTATTGAGTATGTTCGGACTGCACATTCAGCCGCCCCGCGATCGTCTCCGCTGCGCACCAGAATGGTCTCAAGCAGGATACCGCAGTTGACGATCCTAACCTACCTGTCCACTATAGGAGTGAGCCTGCCCCACTTCTGGTCCGAAAGATAATGCGTCCGAACATTCATGCCGGTCGATAATTGATTACTTACTCTATATACGTATTGCAGAACAAAGAACATTGACAAGCAGATCACCGAGAGAAGAGTCAGCGATTGCTGTGTAACTTGGTTTCCTCTTAGAGTACACATTAATGAGACAATTAACAACAGACATGAGTGAGCTCTCGATCATTTCTTTTGCTAAGCTGTAGCTTATGCTTCCCTCTGCCTTGGTGTAGATCCATCACTCATGCAGTCTCTCAGTGCTTTTTGCACAATTGCGTAACCTCGTTGTTGACATGCATACAGAGAAGACAGGCTCTTAAACACAGACAGATAACTACATAATAAACTTACTTTAGTTGTGAGAAGATGCTCACAAACAGCATGACAGATACCAAAACCTTCTTCGTTACTTGTACCCCTGCCCAACTCATCCACTATAACTAAACAATTGCTGGATACATTCTGTGAAGTATAGGAAGGATACACAACATTACTAAAGGAAAAAAAATCCTGCATGAAAGATTTGGCATTACAAAGGCAATGCTGAATGTGGCCAGTGTTTCAGGCAAAAAGTGCAAATTTCTTGATATTCCCTGGTTGCACTGGCATTTTAACTAACTAAAAAGTGACCCCAAGTTATACATACCATATATACATGTACAAGTGACAGCAATTGTACGTAGCTTTCAATTCAAGCTGACAACAGTCAGCTGACACTGACGAGAGATGCCATCTGCAGAATGGTTCACTGCACAGGTCTACCAGTCTCAATGCTAAACACCCTCACACCATGTCGTTGACCTCAAGTGAGTTAATCCGCCAAGCGCATGTATATGCTCACAAGCTCACATACCTACACCTGGATTTGCAGGCACTTGGAGTTAGCTATAATTTTCCTTCATGTAATGGTCCATGTACTGGCATGTCAACTTCATGTAGGCTTCGAATCAACACCGTACGCAAGTATGTGTGTGTGGTTCTATTTAATGCTCTTTTATAGATATGTATGGAATCCCACCTCATGGAAATAAAATACAGCCTAAAATTCGAAAATCAAAACAATTATTCTTGTTCCTTGTTGGAAAATAATCCTGTGGGTATAATACCTCCCTTATTGAGACAAGCCAGACTACTCACATGCAGCATGATGAAAGAGTGTTCAAACATTGATCACTAGCTCACATAGAGTACCGGCTTACCTGCAATACATAGCTCAGTTCTCTCATCTGCAGAAGAGACAACATTGAACTGAGCTCTACCTTATGCATAAAAAACTAAGCAAGATTATGCATGCAATAACGTTAGTAACATGGAATATTATCCATGTTGTAGCCACTTTATACTACTAATGTGGTAGACTGTAGGATTAATATTAAAATACTGCAAAACTAAACACGTGCAACATTGGAATGAGGAGTCAGCCACTCGCGGTGCACACATCAGAGAGTATCTGTTTACCTCCAGCATAAATGTTGAAGAATTGCTTGATATATCATCATCAGATCCAACTCTTGAAAATATTTGACTAGTTACACGAAAGCTTGCATATACGGCAGGCACAAAGCTTCCAACTTGAGCCATTATTTGCAAAAGGGCAACTTGTTTGAGGTATGTAGTCTTCCCACTCTGTGGTGTTAAAACAACCAGTATGACATAGCCATTTTTAGTGTCTAAATACACAACACAGATACACATACAAAGTGAAGTGTACTGAGCCATAGCACTGTGTGCTGGATGACCTACAGAGTAGTGTCATACTTTTTCCTGAAGTGCACAACCACCCAGTTATATGGGGTATCCACAGGATTTCAGAACGATTACAAACATTCAATATCAACTGATCATAACATCATCATGCATAATTCTCCGTTATGTGACAAACTCTATGTATAAAATGGACATAACTTCCAAAATTGTGCACTTCTCTCGATGGGAAGCACACACGTAACAATAGACCATGTGATGCCAAGAGAAAAAAGATGTGGAGCCTATTATATCATTTCCGTGACGATTAGATGTTTCCATGACGACCGCATATTGTTTGATCTTTAAAACTACTTCATCACTCCGCAAACTTGCTAACTGTAGCACGCATGGAGGTGAAACTTGGTGCACATGTGTATTACATCGTTTCCATGACGACCACAACAACAAATAGCCTCCGGCAGTTTTCATTCACATTACTTCTTCACTCCTCAAACTTGCTAATGGCAGCACACATGGAGGTGAAACTTTTTACGCATGTGTATTACATCATTTCCTTGACGACCACAGGCATTTTTTGCTATTATTATATATTTTTTATCCCCCTTTCACAGATATTTTACGTAGTAGTATATAATAATGAGTGGAGACAAGTAAATTCGAATTTAAAAAAAGAGGCATATAGGGATGGTATGAAAGGGAGACAAGATAGGGATGGGATACATGAAGCATGCCTCTTTTTTTTTTAATTCGCAGGATATTAAATTTACTTGTGTATACAAAGATTCGCTCACATAGCTCCTACCAATTGTGACTTACACTGACACATGTGAACCCATTATAATGTATTGCCTCTTGCTATTTGTTGTTGTTTACAAACAAATAAGTATGACCAGTCTCTTCGGATGACGGATATCTACATTGTTACAAATTTTGATTACTGCACGTTGTTTCGTTTTTGAGTTATCCGTGTTGAATCTGAAGAAGAAGATGATGAAGATGAACAAAACTTGCTATCATAGCCCCATACATCTATGATGCTAGTACCATGCCCATGCCAATATACTAAGTACTTTTGTACTTAGTGATAAAGCACGAGACACTGCTCGCAGGAGGCAGCGTCTAGCTTCAGAAACAGCAAGAACCGCGCTTTTGTCGGTGCAAGGGAGCGGTGACTACAACAAGACAGAGCAGTGTCTTGCTTTACAAACAGCTGAGGCCCACGAAACACCCCCTCTTCGCCACAAGGGAGAGGCAAATACCAACAGACAGAGCTCGCAGGGGAAGTGTCTTGCTTCAGAAACACCCGAGGAGCAGCAAACATGCCTTCCTTGCAATTGTGTGGGCACCACATAACGCACCGACCAATAACGCTCCCTGTCAATGCTCATGCATATCCGCAGTTGGGTTCGTCTCGCTCGCAAATAATGCTTAGGATTCATCTAGTACATGACAAAAAGAGTGCTGCCAAAAGAGAAAAATCCATGATGCAAGTACTTTACCCCATAACTAAGTACGGTAGTACTTAGTATATAGGGATTGGCATGGTACCTAGCATCATAGATGTATGGGGCTATAATAAGGAGTTTTGTTCATCTTCTTCTCCTTCTTCTTCTTCTTCAGATTCAACACCCATAACTCAAAAACGAAACAACATATAGCAATGAAATTTTGTAAGAATGTAGATATCCGTCACCCGAAGAGACGGGTCATACTTATTTCTTTGTAAACAACATTGTTTACTGTAAACAACAACAAATAGCCCCAGGCAATACATTATAAAGGGATCACATGTGTCAGTATAACTCACAAATGGTAGGAGCTATGTGAACGAAACTTTGTAGACATAATGTATTCTATCACCAACATTAAAATCACAACAACACATGTTTGTAAACAACAACAAATAGCCTCAGGCACTTTTCTTAAAATTTACTTCTTCACTTCTCAAACTTTTCAATGGTAGCACACAGAGATGAAACTTGATATGTATATGTATGCCTTATATATCATTTCCGTGACGATTACATGTTTCCATGACGACCGCATATTGGGTGAAAAAGCCTCAGGCAATATTCTTTAACATTAGTTCTTCACTCCTCAAACTAGCACGCATGGAGGTGAAACTTGGTGTGCATGTGTATTACATCGTTTCCATGACGACCACAACAACAAATAGCCTCAGGCACTTTTCATTAAAACTACTTCTTCACTCCTCAAACACGCTAACGGTACAATGCATGGAGATGAAACTTGGTACGCATGTGTGTAACATCGTTTCCATGACGACCACAACAACAAATATCCTCAGGCACTTTTCTTTAGAATTACTTCTTCACTCCTCAAACTTGCTAACTAAAGCACGCATGGAGGTGAAACTTTGTGCGCATGTGTATTACATCGTTTCTATGACGACCACAACAACAAATAGCCTCAGGCCCTTTTCTTTAAAATTACTTCTTCACTCCTCAAACTCACTAACGGTACCATGCATGGAGATGAAACTTGGTACGCATGTGTGTAACATCGTTTCCATGACGACCACAACAAAAAATAGCCTCAGGCACTTTTCTTTAAAATTACTTCTTCTCTCCTCAAACTTGCTAACGGCAGCACACATGGAGATGAAACATGGTATGCATATCATTTCCGTGACAGGCATTTTTTCTCTATTAAATCTTTATAGGGGCTTGCCCCCTTCCACAGAGATAATACGTAGTAGTATATAAAAAAGAGTGGAGACAAGTAAATTAAAAATCTTGCGAATTTAAAAAAGAGGCATATAGGGATGGTATAAAAAGGAAGGGAGACAAGATAGGGATTGGATACATGAAGCATGGTTAATGAACAGATTTGAGTACGCTGACACCCCCAACCCCATCACATAATACCTATATTGTTGCCTAGGTGAAGTATTAAACATTCACCATTACAATACTCAGAACTTACAATACACTACTGAGTAACCAACACTCTTATAGAGTCCAAGTGGAGTTTAATTAAAGGGAATGTGGCAGTATAAATGTTACTAAAAACAACAGGGACACGGTGAAAGAATGCTTGCTTTTAGTAACCTTTAGCCCCTATAAGAGTAACACGCCAGGCAACAATATAGGGATTGTGTGATGGGGTTGGGGGCGTCAGCGTACTCAAATCTGTTCATAAACTATGCTTCATGTATCCCATCCCTATCTTGTCTCCCTTTCTTTTTATACCATCCCTATATGCCTCTTTTTTTAAATTCGCATGATTTTTAATTTACTTGTTAGGATAGCAATTTCTCTGCATAAAAGTGCACTCACCATATTGGGACCTGTTATAAGGATGAAGTTGGATTCTCTTGAGGCAAACTACACAAGATATGTAATAGTTAATGTACAGAAGTCAGTGCTGTGCACATAATAATGGTACGAGGGGTGTGGTCGAGACCACGTTCTGAGTACCATTATCACGCGCACAGCACGTGCTTCCGTATTTATTGTATGCGTGGGCGATTCAAAAGGGCAGGAAAACCGATGTTTTGCACGTTCAGAACTGGAAGACGAGAAGCTTGCAGAGAGCTCTTACAGTGTCACTGTCTAAGTCGAACTCCGTCTACGAAAAGGCTGCTGAGGGCGTCATTCCCGCAAAGTGTATGCTAGTCCGCGGATATAGTTCAAAAGGCGGCGGCCAGGAAACTCGTTTTTTTTGCAAGTTCAGAGCGAAAGAGGACAAGAAGCTCGCGGAGTGCCCTTGCAGCAGCTGTTTGTGTCACCATCTGAGTCGAACTCCGTCTACGAAAAGGCCGCCGAGGGCGTCATTCCCGCAAAGCGTACGCTACTCCGCGGATATATAGTACAGTTCATTCCAAAATTGTTCTGTATGTTGAATATAGTACTGGCGGCGCCTTTGATTCGCCCACGCAAAATACAATAAGTAAAAGTAATGTACTTTCATACGGAAAAACCTTTTCTCCTCTCTTCTTTTGTTAACTTCATTACTAAACCCTGATGTATAATAAGTATGACGAACAAAACTTCAGTACTGCCATAATTTTTATTGCTCAGACAAGCATATGTCCTAGGAAAATCGAGATTGAACAAATTATATGTACGGCATTGGGGTTTTGTCCGTCCTGCCTTAATGCTCCTGAGATACTAATCTTAGTACAGCAATGAATCATGAAAAGCGTTCAAAAAACAGCCTGTCTACAATGATAAACTAACTTTAGACGATGGCATGCGTAAGGTTTCAACGTTTTGGTAGACTACCGGCTGGCGACTAAACTCCACTTAGCATAAATGTATGGGAGTGTGCCCACAAGTGGTAGTGTAGAGAAGTGACGCTAGCGGCTGTTTGCAGCAGATTAGCAAGTTTAAAGCAACTAGGACAAGTCTCAAAGTGGTGTATACCTAGCTTTGTTCACTTTGCTCGAGGGTATATACTTCATCGACTTCGAGCAAGACTAAATAAGCTAAACGTGCTACAAATGTTGCAGATGTAACTCTAGGGTGAACACTACAGCTCAGTTGTCCCAGGAGCAGTCTATGATGCAGATTGGTGCAGTAAAACGCCGCGAATTATCACGAAAACTTTTGCAGCTGATCACCTAACCTTTGCACTAGACTACGAGGCAAAGTGCTGCAGTAAAAAGTTGCCATCGTCTCATCCGGATCGGCACCTCACGGGAGCAAAACGAGATTTCATCTGCCTCGAAGTCGGTCTTTGACGATGCAATTGCAATAGTAACCTCGGCTTCACTTCGGTTACTATTGCATCATCCAAGACCTACTACGAAATCCCGTAGTACACTTCAGCTCAGGTGCCTAACCAATACATATGCTTATAATTGACTATTATATCTGACAACATTTAGAATGCTTACTGTAATACTAAAAACCACTCACTAATGTGCGATCCATCGATCATAAAATGGAAACGTGGCGGTCTGTAACGTAACGTGAATGCACAGAAGTAAACTGCCGATTAATGGACCAGGCTACAACATGCGATGAAGTCTTATTTGCACGTACGTACGCATATCGCGAGAATACAACCCAGAGTAGTTGCCTCGCGCTAATGCGCTCGGCAATTACTGACATGTGAACACATGCAATGGAACGTGTTTTTTGGTTGGTCAAAAGAAAACCGTAGCAAGCTTGAAAACGCCACGGCAAATTCTCTGCGACAGAAAGAGTTTCTTTGCACCGAGGCTTGTCACACCCCTGTCAAAGGCGGGTGTCTCCGTTGAAACACACACTTAAATATACGGGATTTGATTCAACGTTTTATGCTTAAATCTGTCAACAACTAAGGTGATTTAAGTACCCAAAGGGCTGCAGGGTTATAAACCTGGTGAAAATGAATCACAGGCTCCTTGTGCCACATGCCATATACATACTTCGAAACAACCGTTTTAGCACACAGCCAGAGGTTTGCCTTTGCATTGCGTTTGGTTTTATTGCATACTTTTCAGCGCAGCCTACTAAGCAGCCGTGGTACCCCGGTGGTAGAGAAATTGTCCAGAGAACGAGTGTCACGGGTTTGAGTCAGACCTACGGGAGCTATTTTTTTATCAAAAAGAGTGTGGTATTCTAGGAGTATTTCATATGCACTCGTCTCCACCTGATTTGTGTGTACAAACAACAAATGATAAGCACTAAAGAGGAAACCCTTGGCACAAGAGAAACGCATGCACATGTTGATGCTTTTCGCAGGCACATAAACACCGCTTAATGATGGGCTGGCCAACGCCGCACGGGTGGAATTACATTCACAACATGCTAAACATGGTCAGCGTACTGCTTATGAAGGTTTCTATTATTCAGTAAGTAAATCTGGGATAAACTTACAATATTGTTTGGTACAAGATTGAAAGAAATGATATCAAGAATGGGATGCCTGCTCTGCTTAACAGCCAGGGTATCGGTAAATTCTGGACGAACTAAAAAAATAATGTGGTATAGATTATATGACATCAAAAATCAATAGTTATGTTGTACTGAAACTAAATCATAATTCGTCCTAAGTTCAATATACAACCTCAGGTTAATTCTGAAAATCTGCAGAACACAATTGTGCATTATATGTGGTACAAATATAATGCTGTGGTGTTATTAATTTAACTGCCTTGTTTGATGGTTGCAGTCAACGTCAAATGAGCCTCATGTATTGTGTGAAATGTACACTGGAATAATAGTTCAGTGTATGGTAGTTATTATGCTAATGGTAAACATGCATGTAGACGAAACTTGGCACACATGCATATTACATCATTTTCCATGCTAAACACATAATTCTAAATAAACTCTGGCACTTCTTAACCACCCAAACTTGTTAACACTAGCACACATGGAGATGAAACATGGTAAGCATGCATGTATGCGTATTATGATGACAAAATAAGAAGGCGGCGCAGACTCCTCAAATTCGCTAATGGTACATAGAACGCAGGTAGATGAAACTTACTACAAACGGTATTACATCATTACCATCAAGATTACAGATTATAAACAACAATTAATAGCCTTAAGCTGTCTTTACCCCTAAATCTATGCTAACGGTAGAGAAGATGGAGATAAAACTTAGTTAGTAAAACTTAGTAGACATGAGTATCACATAATCTCATTGACACTGAACATTTTAACTTCGGCCATCTTCTTGAAAATTCCTTTACTTGTTAATCTTGCTTATTGTAGTCTGCATTATTGCCTTCATGATGGTTAAATCTTAACAGGGCAGTCTAAAGTGAAGCGATCCTACCTAGTGGTCTGAATGCTGGATATTCTATCATAATAATATGTGACAGGCTCTGAGAAAATGACCCTTATGACGCAAATTCGCGAAATATATTTTGTGTGCTACACCGAAAGTCCTATAAAAGCTCTATAGTTTGCCGTTTGTTTCAGGGGCGTAGCCCGTTCTATTGCGAAGTTATGAGCACAAGCGCAAGTGCTGTTCCGCTGCATCTAATGTGAAAAATCGCGTCCAAAGTAGAACCTGCGGTGTCAAATTTCAACCTCCGCATTCTTGTAACAAGTCCGGGTTAGAACATTACGTGCGCGCGTGCATCCGGCCGCACTCATTGATACGCCGCTAGGTAAACGTAGTAAAGGGGAATTCTTGTTTACATGACTCCGTAAAAGGTTTTATTATTCTCATGTCACGTTTCCTTGTAATTCCGCGTAGCTACGGCACGAGTAACGGTACTTGCCTGGTACTCAGGGCCATAACTACGGAACGGAGTTAGTGCGTCAAACTTGCGCAGATTATAGACGATAGACAGAGGTACTAGAATACGGGGGAAAACGGGAATCGGTGAATTACGTAGTTCGCCGTAAAACCGCCGCTACTACAACTACACTAAGTGCGTCATAAGGGTCATTTTCTCAGAGCCTATCACATATGTGGCACATGTATGTGCACATACAATAAAGGCATAAAACACGTGTGAAAAAATATACGAGGGGTACAGCAGGCAACAACAAAGGGTTTGTGTGAAGGGGTCGGGAATATCAGCAAGCTCACATTTCTTCGCATACCATGCTTCATCTATCCCATACCATGCTTCATTTATCCCATACCATACTTCATTTATCCCATACCTATCTTGTCTCCCTTCCTTTAAATACCATCCATCTTATTGCCCATCCATCAGAGGTACACCGTGCATGCACAGTGCACTGAAGGTTTGCATTTGCAGTGCTTTTCATTTTAATCACACACTATGATTGTCCATGCACAGACTCTATATTTCTCAGTCCGGAGAAGCGGACTCTAAGTCGCATGAATAGTGACACTAAAAGATAGGCATTCAGCATTCAGGGAATGGTACTGATAATAGGTGAACTATAGAGGAAGTTCCACCAGTACTTTTTAAAACACCGTTGCACCATGACCACATCCTCGTTCAATTCGAGTGTAAACGGTGCTTTACGGGTTTGTAACAGCACAACTTCTCACATACTGATAGCTTACAGTAGCTGCTGCTTGCCGCACACGAACACTGGTAGACTTTAAAAATGGAGTAAGCAAGGAGGACTGCACTCGGAAATCGTAAGTAGCATAATCTTTTGAACACCAACACTGAAGCCACACGGATGAGCGGGGTCTTCTGCTGGCAGACTATGCATGGCTTGTTTGTCACGAATGCTTTGCCGTTCTAAGTTGACAAGTAGTATATTCACCATTGTAGCTGCTCCGGCTCTTCCTCGAGACAGTTATCTGTTGTGAGCAATCTTGACAAGACTGAATAAGGTCACGCCTCAAAGCTTGCATAAAAATAGAGGCGAGATGAGAACAGCGCAAGTCGCTGCCTTGAGTTCGCCAAGTAGCTGGAACAGTCCTCGTACTGACATCTTCCTGCATTCTAGCAGCGCTCGTGTCTTGGCTCTAATCTTGGTGCAGGGTACGCTCAGGTTTTGGATGAGAAAAATGACCGTAAAACTGGTGCAGACTTCTGGATTGCTTCCTATGCAAGCATGTTGAGATCTTGTTTGTAGCAGCTGAGGAGTGGCTCAAGGCCGAGGGAGGGAATGACTGGTAAATAACTGCGTAGGAATAGCACGCTGGAAAACTTATACAGCTGAGTGCACTGGGTGAAAGCAATGGAGTGCACAATTGTCCTAGTGCACTGAATAGGTAAGTACTGCACAATCAAAGACAATTCTTGTGAACAATGTCATTAAAATAGTTGCAGCGGCCTCGCTGTGAAGTATGATATTATGTGAGTCGGCTTTAGTTAAGCAAATCTGTCGATATAGACATTAGATCTTACTTTAGAGCTCCTGAAAACAATCTACGATAGTATATACCTACTGGTTTAGGTGGCATAGTGACTATACTGTGTGGTACTGTAGCGTTTCTTTGCTGGAGTTGCACGGCATCCCTGGTAGTGTACAGCCTCAGTCACTGTGAGAAATATCGCTTGGTTCTTTCAGGTTCAAGGGGCTCTGCTTGACTGATCCACACAGGCAGAAAGGTGATGAAATCTCTAACTCGCCTTTGCATTATCCGAATCAACGAGGGTTTGAAGGACATATCACTCCCTCTGGACTGCAAAGTGTCGTGGGTTAAAATCCCACACAGGGCAGCTCTTATTGGAGTTGTCCTAGGTGTAGTTATTGTCAGCTTTGCTGTGGCTTCGCAGCTTCGTCAAATGTTTGCATGGTATTATAAAGCAGTCTATACAATCGGTTTTGAGCAGATGGCGCTTGTAGTAATAGTCGCAAAAACACATTGAGTATAGATCCTTAAATTTTTAGTACATACCATATGAAGACAGTGTGCAGGACTTTGCAAAGGAGTGTAGCATATCCAGCATACTCACACACTCTGCAAGCTTGTAAAGGCAACCAATATTACTTCGTAAGTCCTTTATCAGTTCATTCACAACACTGCAACAATAAACCATTAATAAAGGTTGCAATAATTAAAACTCATTGGGGTCCACATTACAGCCTACGTAATCCGGAATATAGGTAACGTTTTAGCCTACTTCAGGAGTGTGGAGTGAATGGCTCAGGCCTCAGGCCTCAGGTGGTAAGGTAGTGCACTTTAACACTGGAGGTCCCTAGTTCGAATCCCACCGTGTTTTAATTTTTTCGCCAATTATTTTTTATCTTTTTGCGTTGCGTTTCCGTTGCGTTTTAGTGACGTAAATTACCCCTCGAGGTGCTTTGGGCCCCAAAGAGTTTTAACACCCAGCGTGCATGCGTAGCGAGGGTTACATTACTTGGTTTCTGTCTGTCTGTCTGTCTGTCTGGGACTACAGTTTCTGCCACTGCGGGCAACAAAACAGCGATACTAACGGATTCAGCGCCACACTAATAAAAGTGTGTATAACAAATGTACTAGAAGAATGTTGTACAATGTTGGTGAGCGGGAGCGACCCAACTTGGGATTTTCCTGTGATGTTCGGGCTGCATAACGTGCCGTCAGTGCACAGCTTTCCTTTCGTGAAGCAAGACAGAGTTACCTGTCGCCGTTACATGCGTACTGCATATTGCCAAAACGGTGAGCAGGTGAGCAGGTGAGCAGAACGGTACTTTCTTTACGCTTTTAGCTCGTGTGTTGTGGTCCACCAGGGAGCTGGCATGGCAGTAGGCTAGGCAGCGATCAATCCGGCTGGCTAACCATGCGGGATGTGTAAGTGGCGTAGCTATAATTGCCGAGCGTGGAGCGAGCCAACTTGTTTGAGCTGATTTTTCTATATATAATGATATATACAATTATATATATGTGTGACAGGCACTGCACGGCACTGCACATACCGAAAGGTTTTACGTGATTCTAAATACGTGAAACGGAATGAATTTCGCAATCGTCTGTATTATAGCTACGCTTACACACGCCTCATGGTTTGCCAGCCCGATCAATCGCTGCCTAGCCTACTGCCATGCCAGCTACCAGGTCGACCACGACACATGAGCTGAAAGTCAACAAAGTCAACAAGCCCATTAGATTACCACTTGCTTACCTCGACAACATTCCACATTAAAAAGGATAGAGAACGTCCAGTATAAAATTCTATATATAGACTTGTAACCCTTGTTAGACCAGCTAGCAAGAGACCACCATAGTGTAGCCCAATCAGCACTTCTGAATAGCCCAGTTGCACGTAAGCGTTGGAATGTAGATTAATGTTTTAATTGACCGTGACGTCACGGCTGGGGTCCCATTTCTCTGCGTTTTTGTATGGGCAAGTATAGGACTTGCGTTTTAAAACTCGCGCTACGCAAACATTATACCGTATTTTTTTAAGTGAAGCATCACGAAAAGTAGAACTCCAGACCTACCGGTAGTACTTTGAACCGAGAGCGTAGCACTTACCGTTCACGAGAAACGTGAGGTCCTTCGCGTATGGCTACGGATATCCAGCAAGTCACGTTGTCTCCAGCCGATATTCCTGGAGCAGACCTCTTAATCGGCATACTGTACCTGATTTGCGCTGGTGGCTGCTCTGTAGAGGCATTAAAGTTCCTACTTCTTGGGGAAAAAGCAACTAGTGAACAGGTACGTAGCTAGTGCAGTGCTTGATACCGAAATTACCAGTGAGTGATCAGGTACAGCGCAAATCAGGTACAGAATGCCGATTAAAAGGCTCAGAGAGGTCTGCTCCAGGAATATCGGCTGGAGACAACGTGACTTGCTGAATATCCGTAGCCATACGCGAAGGACCTCACGTTTCTCGTGAACGGTAAGTGCTACGCTCTTGGTTCAAAGTACTACCGGTAGGTCTGGAGTTCAACTTTTCGTGATGCTTCACTTAAAAAGAAATACGGTATAACGTTTGCGTGGCGCGAGTTTTAAAACGCAAGTCCTATACTTGCCCATACAAAAACGGGATCCCAGCCGTGACGTCACGGGCAATTAAAACGTTAATGAATTCCTATCGCCTTACGTGCAACTGGGCTATTGCACATGCATATGAGTGCAATGCGTACTTGCATGTTTTTCTCGTGCACTATATTGCCTTTGAATGCACTTTTCTTCTGAAGTGCTAGATATACCTAAACACACATTAATGAAGTAGAGAGTAAGTTCAATAAAAAAATCAAGTCTTCCTGACTGTTTTTAAATAGCACGTTCCATCAAACAAATTTATTGGGGTCAAAATCTAGGAGAGGCCAGGGACAATCTGTTTGCGCATATGTGAGATATTATCCTGTTTCACATCGGCTAAAATTCTCCAAAGAACGTTCGCCAGGCGTATTGTTGATCTAAAAACATAGCAAATGTACAGCGAAATATGTGTTGGTAGCATGCTTACCTATTCTGCACCCTTTCACAGAAGGCTGTGTAGATAGGTCTGCCTCAACTTTGAGGTGAAAACCTCACAAAGAACTGTTCTCTACTGGCCTACAATTGTTCTTATCTGTTCCTGTGCGCAAAAGAGCTACGGCACCCAGACACACTGCATCGATCGTTTTGCAACCGCACTGGTAGGCGGGGAATGAGTTGTTTCCTCCTCTGATCACTACAAAACCCAGGATCTACATCACGTTCATTCTGCCCTTCACAAGAATGGATACCCGAAAGGGTTTATTACATCTTCTCAACGGCCACCGACTCGCACTGCTGAGCCCACCCCTGAATGGAGAGCTGTTTCTGTGTTGCCATATGTCAAGGGTGTATCGGAATCAATAAGACGTATCCTGGCTCCCTTACGTGTGAGAGTGTGTTTTCGACCGTGCCATACCCTGAGGTCCTTACTCTCGAAACCCAAGGACCAGATGCCAGCTCTGCAGACATCAGGAGTGGTGTACAAAATCCCCTGTGCGCACTGTCCATGTGTTTACATTGGTCAAACCGGTCGTAGACTCTGTCAACGCGTAACTGAACATAAGAGAGCTGTAAAACAAGCAGATTTCAATTCTTCGGCTCTGTCTGAACATGTCTGGTCGGCCGGTCACCCTGTTGACTGGGAAAATGTGTCTGTCCTGTCTAACTGCCCTGACTATCACTACAGACTAGTATGTGAGTCATTCCTGATTAGATCTACTGCACATACTCTGAACAGGGACACAGGATCTTTGCCTCCGGAGTATGATAACCTTGTTTAGTTGTCTGGGTCGTTGTGTTCGCCTTCACCACTCATGTATATCTCCCTGTTTACACATTCCAAGGTTGCTATACATTTGTCTTTATATACTGCTGAATTTTTCTGGTTCTGTACTGTTCACTGATGATGGTGACTGCATAGTCACCGAAACGTTTGAATATATTAACTAGTGTATTAGAGTTAACTTGAAGTTATGGATCCTCCTAGTCACAAAGGTCTTTTTGCACTATTCAAAGATATATCCAGTATCCCCAACTTTCTGGGGATGGGCATTGACAGATTGTACCAGGCTGTTTTTCCTCCTCCTCAAAAAACGAACTGGGGAACGAGGCTATATTTTTACTCCTACTGCACAATTGCAACTCCATGTCAAACCGGCCGGGCCTTTTTCCCATAGAGGGTCACATATGTTCTGCTCGGACAAACACTGAAAGGCAAACCCTCGGCGCAGGCCAGAACCATCTTCCAGAAGCGCTCATGAAGCACTTAAGTCACCAACACCTTGGAATTTGTCTAAAAACCAATTAGGATAGCTAAAAGATACAAAAAGTGCCTTAAAAACACTGGCCAGCAAGAATCTAACTCGCAGTATCCCAATGGCTGTGCGACTATTGAAGATCGTTTGTACAGCTAGGTCAAAGTAGTTGAAGTTGGAGGTTGTAAGCTCTTTTATCCACTGCATGCTCATGCGCATTGTATCACAAGCTGCATGTGAAAAATATGAGGTAGAAAGGTAAAGGCACAACAAACAAATCAACTACACCTACGACAGCTCTTTTCTTCCAAGGAAAAATAAAGAGCTGCCCTAGGTGGGATTCGAACCCACGACACTCTGCAGTCTAGGCGAGCGCTCTACCAACTGAGCTACCACGGCAACTCAGCTGGTAGGGGTTCGAATCTACAACACAAGGCAAAGCATGCACGTGTCAGTATGAAAGTCACACATGCGTGGTTTGTGGCAACACCAAGGCAAAAGATCCGAATGTAACCTTTCACTGGATACCAAAAGATACAGAAAAAGAGCGCGGTGGCTGGAAGTGTTCGGTATTTGTGACGAAGTTGTCAAGGAGAGTACCAGACAAAGAACCCAGCATTACCTAGGCAAGCGCTTTGCTTCTCCAAGAAAGAAAGGGCCAAGAGCTAAACGAATGAGAGAAAGGGGAGAGAGAAGAGACCTCAGTAGGTCTGTCACCCCAAGTCATAATGGCGAAACTAGTGCCTTGTAGGTGTAACTCCTCGACCATTCGTCATTTCGGCTTCGGACAAAGGCCGGCAGAGACGCTAGAGATTTCAATATTAGCTTGCGCTATCTAAATATGAATATGTGGTACTGCGCGTGACTTTGAAAACGGGTGGTTGCGATTTCTCCGTTCACTGCAATACATTTTCCTGCCCACCAGCAGCAACCGGCAATGACGTCACGTGTGATTGAAATATCTTGACTCTTACGTGCAACTGGGCTATTGTCCGACAGGCAGTGACCTGCGCAAAGCAACGGGACCTAAACTATTCCATGTAAGTGTCTTCTGCACAAACATGTTTGCTTAAACAAGCATGGTCGAACCACTAAATGGCGACCGGAAATCACAGTATTTCAGATTTTTTTATGTGGCATGTAGGCTTCCTAGCTCACTAACAACCTTTTTATGCTCTCTATCCAGGAAGAACATGAACACAGAGCTCCACCTAGAAACTTCCTGCTTGATTGAACGTTGCTATGGCTTGGCAAGCAAACTACAGTTTCAAGTGTGTACTTAACTAAGATATTACCCTGGTTATATGAATCTCATTTCGCCTGGCCACTTCCTTTTACACCCGGTTGTGCATAGTGGGTGGCACATAATAAGTGTAATATTGAGGTGTATATTTAAAATAGTGAAGGTAAACAACACTGTATATTCCTTCAAGCTAGTGATGAACTCACACATTCGTCATAACATATATTTCCTTCGTTGCTTCCTGAGCACGATCTGAAGGTAAGGAAACGAGCACTTGCTAAAACAAGTCTTCCTTTAAAGGCAGTAGATGCTTTTAAGGCACACAAATGTTATTTAAAACATCTACTGCACTACTACGGCACTACTAAACCCCCGGTGCACTGCGCATGCGTGGTATCGCTAATTGATGGGCTGCACTATGAATATTCGGTGACTCGGAGTAGCTAGCGGAGAGTCTAGCTAAACTAGCATATGGGAGTCGATACACGCCCTCCGTTGTGACTTCTTGTGCCTCCAATGTACACAGAGCGAGTGGAACAAGTCAAGGTAAACCCAGTTAGATTATACATACGTATTGGCTTTTTCACTTGTTTCCAATGCATATCTCTTGAACCCAGTCGTTTCAAGAAAATGGGCATTACATTTTTCAGGCCGCATGGTTCTGAAGCTTTTCGTATCGCTCATAGGCCTCTTCATTGCCTGTATAGCTGTGCATGTGCGCTAAGGTTAATTACCCAATGCATGCTTTGCCTTGCAATTGACAACAGTGCATGGATTAACCACATACGTAAACGATCAGACACAATACAAATAAACACCCACTATGGGTCATGTAAGCTATAGACTTGCCAGTGAAAATGTGCTGTGTGTCTACCCATCTTTAAGTAACTTACACCAATCTTGAAGCCTTACATGTATAAGTTATTATGTACCCTTGTACTTACCATTTAGCCTTAGAAGGTCTGCTGTGCTAAAATTTATAGTGTTGCGGTTCTTCGAAATCTTCATAAAATCACTAGGTAAATTATCAACATCCAATCTGCTAAGACATACAGAATAATGAATAGCACAGTTCACAATAAGAAACACCTTTGCTATGAAGCAAATAAATGTCTAATTTGTGGACTTGATACATACGAGCATTGCTCTTATACCACAAGAAATAGGGCACAGATAGGCGCAGAATAAAATAGCCCTTTTCACGTAAAGGACTGAGGAATTCATTAGCTCATAATTGAACGTGACGCAACTTCCGGGGTACATTCCTCCGCCATTTTGTTCATGTTTTCTATGCAGGTTTATGGGGATGATGTCACTTTTCCAAGCGCCGTAGTTAGCTTCCTGGGATATTAAAAAAAACTTATGAAACTTATGCTATTGAATGGTCCATATTGCGTGTACTAGTATTGTATGACTTCGGAGATACGCGCTCGGAAACACGGTGGGTAAAAGAGTTGCTACGGTCTATTTACTGCTAGTGAAGTGGCCGTTTCTGTGCCTGACTTACCGTAGCTAAGCTCTGTGAAGGCTGGGAATCCGTCTATATTGCTATGGCTTGTGTTTATGGCTAGCAACTCTTACCAGTGGCTCAGGATCCCGACGTTATAGCCACTGTCTTTCTGAGCGCGTATCTCCCTAGCCATAGCAAATATAGACATATTCCCAGCTTTCACAGAGCTTAGCTTCACTAGCAGTAATAGACCTTAGCAACTCTTATACCCACCTGTTTCTGAGCGTGTATCTCCGAAGTTGTACAAATAGAACAGAGCGTACAGGAAGCTAACAACGGCGCTTGGAAAAGTGACATCATCTCCATAGACTTGCATAGAAAACGTGAACAAAATGGCGGAGGAATGTACCCCGGAAGTTGGGTCACGTTCAATTATGAGCTAATGAATTCCTCAGTCCTTTACGTTAAAAGGGCTATTGCGTGCTTCATTTGTTCTGGTCCCAGAGAAATGTATTGAAGCAGTTTTTATGAATACATAAAAGAGGAGATAAAACATTTCCACTGTCCCATCAAAATGTGTGGGAACAATAGTCGACAAATTCATTATGTGCAAGTAAATCAAAATGTACATGTATATTTGTCCTAGCTACAATATTGGAACATCTAAAGATGCAAGATGTCCTAATTTTGGTGATGAAACTTGACAAAAGTGGTGCTGTTTTACAAGCTGCTCTACTCTACTGACCTCCAGCTTTTAAGAGAGAGAACAAACACTCTCTTTCCCTCATGGGCGTCTTCCATACAGTGCAATCGCGCATGCGCACCAACAATGAATATCCTGATAGCAATGAGTTTTTGGCGATACAAAATAGCCTACAATCTGACATGCAGCAATGATTTGGTCAGGAACCCCCTTCAAGCAGGTAAAACTTATTACAAGTTAGATATGCTTCCAGAGCTTTCTACCACACTCTTAGCATAATTTGTGTGTAATTGCAAAGCAAAATTGCCACTTAGAACTAAAAACACACAGACTGTCTGAACCAAAGCCAAGCGAATACTACAGTACCAATAGCAACAAGAGAATGTTGTGTAACAGACTGACAAAAGAATGAAGGTAACCCTCACTGCTTCGTGCCAGTTTAACTCTTTAGGGCCCATAGCGCCATTTGGCGACATGCCGGTATACTGAGGTGCAGCTAGCCTACCTCGGAAGCGATTTGCACACAGCAGGAAATAGCCCATCCTCCGGAAGCACAATAGAGCCAGCTGTCAAGCAATCAACAAACCAGAGGTCGAAAGGTCGTGCAGCCCAGGGGCGACACCCACAAACATCGCGTAAAAACTGCGCAATCAGTGCTCGCCGTGTATGTTAGCGTGAAACGATTCATGGAGCTCCACAGACTGTCAAAAGCATCTAAATGGAATGGTAAGGTATTAGAGAAGTATTGTATTGTGCTCTAACTTAGCTGTCTTGCTTGCTTCAGGAGTAGGAAAACACCGCATTCGGACCACGCGGTATATTGCTCAATAAATGTAGTCATACGCATGTTCGCAAAGATGCAATCACAGACCCTAAAGAGTTTAATAACACGCCAGCGTGCATACTTTCGGTTAATATAATCACCCTGTGGCAACATGGAATGTTTGTTTTTGAATGGATCGCTGTCGGGGAAGAGTGAGAGAGCATGATTGGACAGGACAAAGATAGGTTTTTGAAAGGACAATGTGCTAAGCAAGCAGACTGGCATGCATGCGATTTTGTACACTTGTGCATGAGCTTGCACAGACACACACGTACTGGCATCGGTAAAAAAAATGTGGTTGCAGAGTTTTTCGCAGTGGGTCAGCCGTTCTTGATAAACTGAGTGCAGTACCGCTTGTAGGAATTTTATTCTTGCTGGTACTATTTTCATTCTGTTTTTATCTAGTGGATGAGGGTGTTAGAGCGAAGTATAGGGAGGCCTTGAAAGCGAAGGTTGAATCTTTTTCAGAGAGCATCAAGGAGAAAGTGAGTGAGGGTATTAGTGGAAGTTGGTTAGTCAGTGCAGTTGTAGAGGAGAGGAAGCAAGTTGTAAAAAAGGTAGCAAAGGCTGAGGTAGGAGAGAAGGTAGTGGTGTGTGGCAGGGCAGTCAGGTGGTGGGATGACGAAATTAAGCAGAAGATAGAGCAGAGAAGGGAGGCATACAAGAAAATTCTTGAGGGTCTGGATTATCTATGGGAGGAATAATAGTAAACTGCATAGGGAGGTGAAGAATTTAGTTGTTCAGAAGAAGCTTGGTTTGGAATGAGGTAGTGGAAAGAGCAAATTTAGATTTTGAAGGTAATAGGAAAGAGTATTTGTTGGTAGAAGGACAAAGGGGTAAGAGAAGGGGGATTACAGCTTTGAGGAATAGTGCTGGGGTGTCAGTGACTAGTACAAAGGGCAAGGTAGAGATGTTAAAGAGGCAGTTTGGCACTTGTAGTGTTGATACAGCCTTTGATGATAGTTGGAAAGAGGAAGTGGATAAGAAAGTGTGTGAGTTTCCAACAGATTGTGTGGAAAATGTGTTATGGTGGGTCAGGGATGGTAGAGTTACTTAAACAGTTGTTTACAGTAATTTGGCGTGAGGAGTTTGTGCCACCACAGTGGAGGGAGGGCCTCATAGTTAACCTGTTTAAGAAGGGAGATAAGAAGGATCCTGGGAATTATAGGGGGGCATCACTCTGCTGAGTGCGGTTGGGAAGGTATTTTGTAAGGTATTGAACAATAGGTTGGTGGACGAGGGCAAAGCATTGCATGAGGGCCAGGCTGGTTTTAGGGTTGGAAAGGGGTTGTGTTGATAATATTTATACGCTGAATGAAGTCGTGCAGGGTAGACTAAAGGAGGGGAAGGAGACATACGCATTCTTTGCATGTGCAGAAGGCATACGATAGTGTGTGGCGTAACAGCCTGTGGTTTAAGTTGTGGGAATTTGGGGTAAGAGGGAAGATGTGGAGGGTCATAAAGAAGATGTACGAGTATTCAAAGAGTGCTGTATTGTTGGATGGGGAACGGTCCGAGGCATTTGATGTGGAACAGGGGGTAGCTCAGGGATGTAGCTTATCTCCAATTTTGTTTTCCGTATTTATCAATGGGTTGTTGAGGGAGGTAGAGGAAGCTGAGATTGGGATCGATTTAAGTAGTGGTGGGAGACTTGGTGGACTTTTGTTTGCAGATGACTTCGTTGGTGTTAGTGAGTCTAAGGATCAGTTACAGGCGCTTATAGATGTGGTGCATGCATACTGTCGGAAATGGAGGCTAAAGGCTAATGTGAGTAAGAGTGCAGTGATGGTGTTCGCTAGGGAGTCAGTGGATGGTGCTTGGAAATGGGGGGAGTATGTTTTGCCAAGAGTATCTAAATACACATACTTGGGTGTTGATTTTACTAGTATTGGTGCATGGGATGGGCATATCAAGAATGTGTTAATCAGTTGCATAAGACATTTAACAAGGTGGTAGAGTTCAAAAAGTACTTGCATGGGAAAAGTGATGCTGGGTCTAGATTAATGTTTAAGTTCAGGTCAGGCACGCATGGGCTAAATGAGGAACTCGGTAGGCATAGGGGGAGGGAGGGGATGAAGGAGTGCCTGTTGTGTGATGATGAGTGTGAAAGTGTGAGTCATGTGTTGTGGGAGTGTCCAGCATATAGTAGTCTTAGGAGCAATTTCTTAGTTGCCCTGCAGGGGAAGCTTGGGGGTGATGGGTTTGAGCATTTCCAGTCGCTTGATTAATCCCAGCGTACAACAGACCCAGTCTCAGATTGCGTCTGGGGAGCTGCAAGGTGTCGCTGGTGGAAGGGGTGAGTTGAGGTGTCTGGGAGGTGAGACAGACACCGCATGTTCATATGGTGTATGTTCGTTTGTTAACGGTTCCGTCCATTGCTCTCGGTGAGTGGTCTATGGCCCTAGTGCTACGGCAGCCACCTGAGTATTATTATTATTATTGTTATCTCGTTAGGAATTATTTTGTTAATACCAAGTCTGGAAAGAACTAACATTTCCCCTACACAAAACTACAGCTTCAGTGATAGCACAGGATCTGTACCGAGGGTTTGTACTTGTTTTTCCAAGTATGGCAGTGAACATCTGGTTATCACTAAGTACAGTAGCACAAAAAGAGTTATCAAAATAAATGTCACGAGGGGATAATGCAATTCACTGCCATTAGCAGTAAACAAGTAAAAATTGCCTAAGGGTAGTTTACAAACGTAAACCTTCATTAACATAAAAATAATACTCTCACTCTGGTGGAGCTCCAGCACCAGTGTAGAGCTGCATATAAAATCCACGGGAATTACTGCCACAAACTTTAATGGGTAGATTATACTTTGAACTCAAACAGGTAGCCATCACTGCAAAAATAAATAAGCAACACTGTAATGGGAACTTATAAAGATGCAATGAAACAGGTCAATTGCATGCACATACGTGACCTGCTCTAGGAAAAGGTATGTTTCCATGCAAACTGGGTTACGTGAATCATTAGAATGCACAATGCAAGATGCGCTACATACCACGAAAACGTTTGTAGCTACATTCAAGCGCTACACACAACAAACGTGTGCACCCTTCTGTGCTTATTTCGAGAAATACTATGTGGAATTTGCATTATGCAATAGACGTGGAGGAAATGCCCACAAATACAAGGGGTTGCTTCCGATGTTCTCAGCTGGGCCTCTTGTTTTGGTGTGTACGCAGCAGTTCTGACGGCGAAGCACCCCGAAATGGTAAAACACTGGTAAACTTCGCCTATCAAACTATGATGAGATACTTCATTGGGTAGATTTGCT